CGCTCCTCAATTTGCGAAAAAGGGAGAATATTTTATGTAATATAAACGCAAAGTTTCTATTAACTTTAACTTCCGTAATTTCAGAACAGTGTTTTCTCACGTTTTTAGCGCTATGCTACACGTAGAATAATATTTATATTGTTGAAACAAATTGCGTTTGGAAGCATTTCTTCGAGTACTTCGTGAAAATATTGATTATACGTTCTTTATGTCAATCAAATAAATGGTATTAAAATATATCTATTAAATATTAAAATATAATATTAAAATATATCTATTGATTTCACATTAATGATCCCTCCATATTATTTGTACGCTATATTGAAAACATGAGGAAACATTGTTTTGAACTTACGAAAGAATTATAATTAACAGAAATTTTATATAAGAAATGTTATTCCACATGTCATTTCTTTACAAACAATTATTAATATTTCACATAGTATCACAGTAACATTAGACGTTTTATTAGAATACGAAACATTGTTAAAACGCGATAAAGCGAGGTTTTCAATAACTCTTCATATTTCCCCCGGGATACGGCATGTGTATACGAGAGATAGCTGACAATAAAAGTCGAAGATATTACACGAGGGATGGTGGAATTAATTTAATGCTACAACAACCGTGAGCTTAAAACCCCAGTGGTCTCGATAGTTCGTTGAAGATCATTCCAAACTGTAAATTCCAATAAATTGACGTTATCTTTTCATTATGAAAAATTGTTTGGTATAATTAGCACAATCCGAGACACTTTAAAAAAACATTCGGAAAATGAAATAGGAAAACATCAGTTAATATCGCGTAGAATCGAAATAAATAATCAGCAGAAAAAATGCTAATAGAACTTGCGGTTTTTTTTTTCTTTTACCATTCTTCTCTGTTACTAATTTGATAACTGCGGTAAAAATTGACACAAGCACATTCAGCGCAATTATTAAAACTCGGAAAACGCAAGCTTATTTTTAGTCAGTATAAAAGTCCGTAATAAAACAAAAGTTTGTAATAAAATAGAATACATGGTAGCTGACTATGAAAGCCGCACAGGCAACAAAGGAATTAATTTAAACTGTACGAAATTAAAGACCAAAAGTACACGCATTAACTAAATTCGGTCCTAAAAGTTTTTACCGTACTATTTCCCAAATGGTGTCCTCGCAAATGCACGCGCGGTGTATTCTGAAGAAAGAAAGAAAGTAGGTCTCGAAGGAAATTACTTTACTTATTCGTTTGTTGTAGGGCTATCGTTTATACCAGTTTAATTTTTTCAACACCGTATAAAAACAGGTAAGCAGAGTATCCCACTACTTTCTTTTTTCTCTCTCCAAATTCGAGAGACTCACAACTAAATTATGTATATTGAGAAATATTATCCTATTTTTTCAAAAATTAGGTTACTAATATTTTCAGTGGTATGGAAAATATGAACATGATGATCTTATTTTCTCACAAAAAATGCAGAGAATAAATTGGGTTTTCACATCCTGTTTTTTCTCTTTCCTCTCTTTATATCCCTCTGAAAAACAAGAGAAAATGTGATGGTTGACTACGTGAATCGGATACCACACGGGAGTAAAAGGAAGACGGAGACGAAGACAAAGATTATGTGTCAAATGAAAGAGGAAAACGTATAAGGAGGTAACAACTTGCTGGGTGGTTAACTGGAAGACGAAAACGAGGGATTTCGATTATCGTCGGAAGAACAGGAACAGGAATAAGGGACGAGAGAGAGAAAAAGAACAAAGAAAGTCTGCCTGATCCCTCTCCCACACGTCACCAGCCATATGGCATCATGCCGTGATTCCCTACGACGACTGCTGGGCTTATACGGTGGCGCCTGCCATTCGAAACTCTATTTTATATAGTTCTGTACAACCCTCCCTGCTGTACCATCATTTTTCTTGCAACCCCTATCATATACGCATTATTGACATCTTAAACCGTGAACTATGACGTCATAGTTTGCATTGTATAAACAAGGTATGTATATCCCAACATTTTCGCTTATCAAAATATTATACCAAAAAAATTCAAAAATTAAGTAATAAAAGCCTGATGTTTTGTTCTAATTTTGTGCCAATTTGTATAATATTTTATATATTAATATTTAGCTTATTAGATTTTGTGATTTTTAAATCCTTAGAAGAGTGTACATATTATTGTTATCGAATTTTCTATACCAAATTATGCAAAAAAGTATCTTTATAAACAAAAATATGTATCAACTATTTTTTTTCACGACAAAAAGAGTTTTCAGAAATTTGTATGAAAAATTCACGATATTTTTGATATAGAAAAGCTGAAGCTACACGCTTAAAATTTTATGGTATGACAGATAATCATGAAAATTTCCAATAAAACAATTGAGAAGCACTATAAAGAACGGAAGGATGAGACAAAATGCGATAGAAAACAGTATACCCGTAAAAGATAGAAATAAGATAAAGTCAAAGGTCCAACGCGGAAGAAATCGTTCGCTGGTACTTTCGAATGTGATCGGAAGCGACATGATCTGAAATTTCTTTATTAAATCTTCTAGCGTGACTATTGTGCCTCAGTTGATTTTGTTTTTAGTGCGAAGATGTTATATAAGACGTGAGGTAATGTTTAAAATGCAAATGCATAAAAATAAAATTTCTTTATCGATTTTGAATATCCACAAATCAAAATTGTTAGAACATATATAACTCGACTACTTTGTGATTCTTTTACGGAAAATATATGAATGTGTAACACGCAATAAATCTGAAATTTTCGATCCCAACGCCAATCCATAATTTATGAAAGCTCCTAAAATACACATTTTTCCTCAAAGTAGAAAAGAGATATACTTAAAATATTGTAAAATTAAAACCATTTCATAAAAGATTGAAAATAAATAGATATACATGTTTTACATGATATATTACACAATTTGAATTTTTTATTAAATTGAGTTATAGTAAAAAAAAAAAGTTTTTACCATAAAAGTTTTTTTTCGATAAGCAAAGAATATCAAGGCACAAGTTTATATCTCAGCAAACAAATGATTGAAAACTAATTAATCGATTGTGATTACGGACCGTCTTAAAACTTCCGGAGTTTGCGAGTCAGACATCAGTAAACAGGATACTCTCACTCCCTATCGCTTTCCGTCATTTTCTTGAATGAAGCGCTTAGAGTGGCGTTAGCGATACAACGCGTCGCTAAGCGAGACGATACGACGCGACACGACCCACACTCAGCGTTCCGCACGTGCTGCATACGTAATACGTATTGACGCGCCGAACAAAGCGAAACGCAAGTGCATATCGCCGAATCACACAGTGTGAGATACTCTAATTCCCAGTGCACACACTGTGCATACTTTACGAATTATCCGAATCATTGAATAAAAAAATTGCCAAACGATTTATCCTGCTTAATGAACAGACTGGAAATAATCGAGAATAATGAAGAAAAACTAGACTGTAAAATATCTCTCTGTGAAATCCATATTTTCTTCTCATGAGAATCCAAAGAAGCATTTTGAAAAAAATGCAAATTTAGATACTTTATATTGTCTCGTTATCGAATCACGCTTCATACAAATATGCGGCTAAAGTTAAATTTAACAACGGAGAAATAATGATAAATATGTTCTTACCAAGTCAAAATATCTCGTTTTGTTTTATATATGATTTCCATCCATTATTTCTACAAACTCGATACAAACATTTCAATTTACAAAATGAGAATATGCAGTAATGGTTGTCAGTTATTGCTCACTTGTTGTGATTCAGATAATATTATTCTAAAATTGCTCTATAACAACTCAAATTACAACACCGTCTACCCAAAATACGGATAAAGTGATAATATAGACATTCTGCAGCACGTTATCTGTGTGCGCATGGACGAGCAGCGTCGAAGACAACAATCAAACATTGCATAAAAAAGAGAGTTATCTTCTCTGCTAAGATATTTTGTTACGTGTTTTAATGATATTGTCTATATTTTTCATGATAGAAAAGGGCTTTTCACTTAAAATTACGGTAAAAGTAAGTCGATATAATTTTATATAGCTTCATATACTTCAAGTAACTGGCAGAATCTCATAAATTTGCTGTTGGCATTGTTATAAGCGGTTTGTTTTAAACTAATTGTGGCACAAACTTTTAATAATACAAGAAAAAAACGCACTCGAGCGTTAAATGTTTTTGATTATAAAAGTATTTCAAGAAAGGGGTAATCTCGCGAAAATATCTTGTAATCTGTTGTAGTTCGTGCTGTTTTTAACATTATTTCAACCAAAGTTTTATCTTTTATTTTGATGTATAAATTTATTTTTTATTAAATGCTTACTGGTGGTCTATACAATTATAATATATTTATTGATATAAATTTTATGTTTTAATAATGTAACTTTTACTGCAACATGTATATCCATATGTATTTAACGCGAATATGTTGCAAATTTCTTTTATTATTTTACTTAGCCACAAAGTATCCTGATAAACGCATTCTTTTCAACGTTATTCTGTTATAAATCTTTTAATAATACGATTTACGATCCTACGGTATTGCTACAAACACGTGTCTATCGTTTCAAAATGACGCCTGTATCAGAACTGCTTTGCAAGTCCTGCATGCGTGTTAAATTGCGGTAACACTTATACTTAATATGCAACATATAAATATATTGAATTCAAGGATTTTTGCGCAATTTTTAATAAAAAATCTTTGGCAATCTTGGAGATAGCGTAGAGAGAGAGAGAGAGAGAGAGAGAGAGAGAGAGAGAGAGAGAGAGAGAGAGAGAGAGAGAGA